AGATGTTAGATATCACTTCTTAAGAGATAACTATGAGAAAGGATTGATCACCATAGAATTCTATGCTACTGATAAACAAATTGCTGACATCTTTACTAAAGCACTGAGTAGAGAAAACTTTGAAAGGAACATATTGGAATTAGGGATGATTAAGATCAACTAATAGGACCAGCTCAGAATGCACAATGAAAAAAATGGAAAAAAATGAAAAAAAAAATTGTAGGAAATCTGAACTTGTGTAAATATCTAGATTAATCTTTACTCAACTTCATACTGTAATTAGTATACTCCTGTGACATGTGTTAATATGACTCACTGATCTCTTACAAAATTTTCTCTATTGAGGTAAATTGAGGCATGGTCAAGAAAATTCTAAATGAAGGACCTGGTTCATTAGTATTGGTTCATCTGAATGCTAAGGTATGTTTTCTATACTCTGTATAATTAGAAATATAAATATTTAAATCATGAGTAGAAGTCCTACAATTGTTAAAATCCTTAGAAAATTCTATCCGTTTGTTTTTGAACCAGTTCCGTCCGCATTAGAACTCTAAACCACTAAAATTGCCTAAAATATAGGGAAGCTTAACCGTTCATTCAAACCTGAAATTTCAGGTTGATTAGACCTCCAATTGACTACTGCTAAAAGCTGTCGTTATTTATTAAATAAGTATTTTTCTTTAAATACGCATTATTACCTCCTGGCATCTTCAAAATTCTAAACCGTCAAAAACCCTTCTTCACTCTTAATTTCTTTCATCTCCAAAGCTCTTTCTCGCCAACTCTCTCAAGAAATCAGCTATAATGACAAACCCACAAGACAATCCTGGAACTCCTCCACAAGCCACTCCTTCTGATTCATCTACCTCTCATCCACCTAGCACGACTCCCAAACCCAGGCTAAGAAGAGTAAAAATGCTTGCTCACAAAATGGTGACATCTGGTGCTCTCTCAAAGAAATTGAATGAGCAATTGAAGTCAAGTCAGGCTAAAGACTCTGATTCTAAGTCGTACAAATCTGCTAGTGAGAGGGAAAGATCTGGGTCTTCTGACTTTGAGAAAGCTCAAGAATACCCTTCTAAGGTAAGTTCTTCTTTGACAGAGAATTTAGAAAATAAGTTTGTTTTGGTTGGACCTATCAAGGATGTGGAATTACCTGAATTAAGAAGGAGTGGAGGTAAAAGGAAAAAGGGAGAGAGGGTGAATGTGGTGATGAGAGGGAAAAAACGAAAGGAGTGGTTGATCATTCACCCGCTGCTGATTTGTCTGTGCTTGTTATTTGTGGGGTTGTACAAGAAAATATTGAAGAAAGTGGAAAAAAGTCAGGGGGAAGTGGTTCTGGTGAAGCTGCTGAAGGGTTAGTTCATTGAAGTGCACAGGGAGATGAACCTCGTTCATCAACTGAAGAGACCTTAGCAAACCTTTTGAAAAAGGCAGGGGCAAGTTACGATCCAAAGAAAAGGAGAAATCCCACACCAAAAGCCCCCAATGCCCCTAAACCCTCCAAGAAAAGAAAGGCTTCCTCCCCAATAACTACTGAAACTTCCTTTCCTAAGGGAAGAGCCACAAGAAGCAAGGTGAAACAGAGTGAGAGTGATCTACAAAAGGTTCTGGCTGATGGTAAGAAGAAAATGATTGCCAAAGGAAAGGATAAGGTTGCAGAATCCTCAGAAGCAGATGATATTGAGGAGATGGAACATGTCCATCAGGAGAATGTTACAACAGTAGGTTCAGACCCCCAAGCCCAAAAAGCCCTATACTTCTTCGAAGAAGTCTTCCTCTGTGTCTGAGGCAGCTGAACCTTCATTGGCCAAGAGGACAAGGTCTGTAGTGAAAGGTAAATAAGTTAGAGTTTCTAAAGATAAGGAATGGAGTGGTGAAGAAGAGAATGAGACTGATGGTGAACAAGACAAGCTTGCCATTTTTGGCAAAAAAAAAATTTAAAGGGAAGATTGTTGAAAGATTTGTTGGAATTAGGGATAGTTCGTTTGGTTGACACACTGGTTGTTCAGGGCTGGAAGGACATGGTCCTTTATATGGATAGGAGATTGGCCAAAAATGAAATCATTGAATTCATGGCAAATGCTGAAGTCAAAGATGGTAGAGTTATAAGCAAAGTCAAAGGAGTTCAAGTGACATTTGATGCTGAGAAACTGGGAGAGATTCTAGACATCGCTGCTGCGGGATATGATGATTACACCAGAAAGAGATGGCCAAGTCTGGATTCCCTTCCATCTACCCTTACAATCACTAGAAGATTTTGTGATGAAGATGTGAATGAGGCCAAGTTTGTGCACAAGAGTGAAATGAAGCCACAACACAAAGTCATTTTTGAGTTTGTCAACAAGTGCCTACTGCCCAAGCAGGAGAGAAGGCATATTGCAAATTATATGGACTTAGTTCTGATGGAGTGCCTTGAGAGTGGAAGGCAAATCAATTGGTCTGCATTCATCATCAAGCTACTGGATAGGGTTATCAATGGCTCCAAGGCTCATACTACCCCCTATGGCTTTATTCTGACTACACTTCTGGATAGGTGCAATGTGCCTCTGAAGAAATAGGAAATGGCTGCAAATAAGGATTACTTTGGCATTAATACTCTGCTTGCTTGTGACTACTTAGTCGATGCCATCCCTAATGAACCTGGTTCATCCAAGAAGACTCCTATCAACAGTAAAGTCAGGGCTCTTGTTCAGGAAAGTGAAGCCAAGGATGCTGAGATAGCTAGGCTAAAGGCTCGTGTGGCAGAGGTAGAATCTGAGATGGGTGCTCTCAGAACTGAGCTCACCAAGGAAAAGGAGAAGAATGATGGAATTCTTTAGAATATGTTGAATCTTCTCCAAGCCCAAAACCAACCCTCTAGCTCTCCCAAGCCTTAGGAATTCTAGCCTTTATCTCCTGCACCTGTCTAGTACCTTCAGTGACCCGGATTAGGGATTTTTCTTTCTTTTTGCTCATGTTTTGAATATTTTTGCTTTCTGGTTGTGGATTGTGGTAGCAACATATCTTCTATCAATGATATCTCTATTTTTGCTCTTGTTAAATGCTAATATTCCTTTGATAGTTTAAATATGTTTGCTCGATTACTGATGATTAATTCATGATTGCACTTGTAGTTGCCCCAGTGGCCATGAGTACTTATTAAAATCTGGGACTCACACTTTGTATGCAACTTTTCGATGATTCCAAAAGGGGGAAGAGATATTGTGCTTTATATATTCTGAATAAGTGATATTTATAACCTAATTAACCTGGTTCTTGATGACAAGTGAATTTTCTAAATTTTGTATTGATGGTTAAGCTAAGTTCTTATAGGACCCAAGTAAGTAAAAAGCACAGAATTTGTCATCATCAAAAAGGGAGAATTTGATGGCCCAAGTACAAGTGAAGTTTTGAAGACTGACAAAAGAACTCATACATAGACCAGGTCCATCTTGTAAAGCACAATCATGATCAACCCAAACATGTGAGATGCACGTAAAGGAGATAAATTTCACTTATCAAAAGTAATATCTCCTGATCTGATCGAAAAGGTTGCATATTGGATAAGGAGAGAAAGACTCCTTACACAAAGAGAACACAGTTTAGGAAGGTGATAGAGTTAAAGTATGAGATCAACTAGAACTCTTCTACCATAGAAGAGTAGCATCTGAATGCCAGTCAATCTCTAATTACTAACCCATTAAATATCAGTGTTGTTCTCTTTTACAGGTAATGCACATAAGCAGAAGTTAAACTTAAATTGAGAGCAAAAGAGCAAGGCGATTTTGCAAGCAATTTATGTGTGATTCAAGCGTGCAATCCTGAATCTACTTGAACAAGATAGAAGAACCAGTTCCAAATGTCTATCTTTTATTATAGTTCAATTGTAGTCGGTGATTTTACATTGTACCTTTCAGCTTTTATAGAAGCAATTGTATTAGGTACCTAGAGTGTTCAAGTTAGAGTTAACTTGAAGTTGTCGCAACAGTTGAGGTTGTGTGCCACAACGGGATTAGAGTTAATCCTAGGTTTACAAAAGAGTTTTTGTAAATGCAGTTTTTGGCTCAGTTATTTTAGTGGAATTTTGGGAAAATTCTACTGAGTAGTAGGTCGTGGTTTTTTCACCTTTTGATCCAGGTGTTTTCCACGTAAAATTCTCTGTGTTCTTTATTTTCTTTACTTATTATTCCACAAACAGTAGTAGTTGGAAAACATCCAGGTCCTTCTATAATCAAATTAAGCAAAAATTGGGTACCACACAAATCACTCAATCACCTCTCTTGTGTGGTATTGACGTATAAAACATCTTGGCAAAAACTGTTGTAAAGAGGAAACCGAGATCTTGATAAGCTAAATGATAGTAGTGTTTCATTCAAAAATAGAAATACAGATACAACAGGAACAGTTACATTCGACATTGTCCTAATCTAAATAGAAGTAGAACTTACACTACTAGAAAATGGTAAATTTTCGACGGCTAAAACGGTCGAAATTCGGTCGGAAATCACGTATTTTCGACTATTTTCCGACCGAATTTGGTCGGTCAGAAAAAAGTTGGTCGAAAAACAATTTCCAATCGAATCTGTTGGTGATTTCCAACTAAAGTGGTCGCAAATTTCGAAAAGGTCAGACTACCAAATAATTCACTTTTTCGACTAAAGTGGCAGGAATTTACCTACTGAATCGGTTATAAAATACAAGGAAAATTAATAATTAAAAATTAAATTTTATTTATTTTCCGACGGAATCCGTCGAAAACTGTTGAATATTTATTTATTTATTTTTTGAAATTTTCGACCGAATCTGTCGGAAATTACTAATTAAAAACTCCGTCGAAAAATTCTGAATATTAATTTTTTTTTAAAACATTTCTAACCGAATCAGTCTGAAATCTGACAATTTATTGTTAAATTCGATGAGCTTTCCGACCGTTTCCGTTGGAATTTTGTACAAAACTGGGATTTCGAGCTACCCCACTTGTCAAACTATCACAAACAAAAAAATACCAACCAACAATCTAAACCAACGATACATTAATACAATAATACGAACCAACAATACATTAACGCTATCTAAATTAACAATACATTAACAAATTCTAAACCAACAATGCTAACCATTAACACAACTTAAACCAACAATACCAACATTTAAACCTAACAATTTTGGGCATAAAAACATCTCAATAGCAGCCCATATTCAAGTTTAAAAGCAATACATAAAGTTGTCTCTCACAATCAAGTTTACCAATCAACCAAAATATCACAACTAAACTACTACACATCAGATTCAGTTTGTTCATCCTCATCATCAGATAAATCATGCCCATGTTTACGCATGAATTTCTGCATCTTAACAAATGTTCCGTATTAGGAGTCCAACTGTTGCTTCAATTCACGAATTCCATTTATCATATCTTCCATCTGTTCTTGATTTTGAGGAGAAGAATTGGCTAAGAGTGGGTTTGGATGACCTGTGGGTCGATGTACTCCTAGTCTGTAGACTCTGCCTTTGTTTGCTCCACCCGCTGCCTATGTCCACAATGAAGCCATATCATCAGGTGTTGGTTGAGTTGAAGGAGGCTGAGTTTGTTGTAATTTTTCCAACCTTTTATGATAATTTTCTTAAAATGAAAAAAATAACTATTATGTAAACAAACTAATATTAATAAACCATAAATAATTATGAAGTTAGAATTTTACATATGTGTCTGATGCACGCGTTTCCACCCAGTATTCTCTTGTACCATCCTTTTTCTTTTTCTTATGCAACTCCTCGAAGACCTCTGCATAACTCACATCTCGCCCTCTTTCCTTTTCCTTCGTAAGAAAAAATATGAGTTAGACTTTACAAACGTAAAATTCTATATGTAAAACTAAGAAAATTTTAATAAATAATTATCATTCTTAGTTTATGGGCCTCAAAAGTAATCGAACCTCATGTGTGCAACAAGCCACCTTTTTTAGAGGCACGGTTTGCCTTTGCTTGTTCATTCATTGCCTTCCATTCAGGGGTATTTCATTTCACAAGAAGTGTACCAAACATCTTCTCTTAACCATTCTGGCATATTACCGGAATTCCGAGCAGCGCACATAGTATCTTTAATCCTTATAGCAGTTTTTTTCTTGAAAATACTATTTATTGCATTTTGATGTTGAGGATGTCATGTACACCTTGTCTGCAATATAAAAAAGTAACATTAGATGAGGACGATAATTATTAAATAAATATAATTAATTTTTACCCTAAATTAATTCCACATTTGCTCTCTGATGTTGTACGATATCTTTCTCCAAGAAGTCCACGACTCATGATAAAATGGCTTCATTCTGTAACCAAATGTGTAGCTTGAAAGGATAGTAAAAACCTGCATTAAATTAACATATATCTAATTAATAAACACCTTTTAATTGCAAATAAATACTTCTTAATGTTAACATATCTAAATGTACATTCAAAACATAAAAATTTGTATAAGAACCTTCTTACCTATCCTTGTGAGGGACGATTATCAATCGATTATAACTATCAAATATACATCCCCTCCAAGATTTTGCCTGCGTCCACGAGATGGTGCAGAAGCAGCACTAGATGTAGCCGGGTGAAAGCCTCCAATATCCAACCTAGACATGCTGAAAATGGATGATGATGATGGACTGGAAGATGATGGAGCAACAAAAGATGCAGTAGCTCATCAAAAGACTCATCACTTTTGAGTCTGTTTTTTTTATAAATCAAAATGTAGGACTCTCTAAATAGTATTCATACAGTATTCACCCACATATAAAGTCTTTATAAAGTGACACCAAATTATTGATTTCATAAGGACCCAAAAAAAATTATACTACGTACTTTTTTCTATAACGATATACAATTTTGATGATTTGAGTTTTCAGCACATATCTAACCCCCTTCTTCAGCCCCTTCCCCCAAAACAATTTGCTAGTTCAATAGCTTAACTTTTCACAAAATCTATTAATTATAATTCGAAACTTAATAGGCGTTTGTATAATATTTGGTTGAAAAAAAATAGTATTTGAAGTTAAAGTAAAAAACAAAATAGCAGATACTAGAATATCATTTATCAATCACTCAAATTATAAAATAAAATAAAAACTTCAATTGTAATTGGCCCTAATTAGTCTCATCCTATATTTTGATAAAGGCAATTGGAAAGTTGAAACTATGAATATTTCCTTCTATCTTCGGGACTAAGAAATTAGTAGCTACATGGACTATGCCATGAAATTTCCAACCATATATTCCTAGGAATCCACTATCTCCTACACTAATTAAACAAAGACTTTTGAACGTTAAGAACAGGTTGCTTTACAAAATAGTAGAATATGAAGTTAATTCATTGACAGTAAAATATGTTGTTTGCTGGAGGAATAAACAATTTGGACATCAAAGGTACTTACATGCAATTCTATTGTCCTAAATATGCTCTGGTTTGGAAATATTGTGATACAAATGTTTTCTTTAGTACTTTAGGAATTAGCTATATTACAGGAACTCACTGCTACCTTTTTTTCAATGCTGAAGTTTGGGAGCCATATCATGTTAAAGAATTTATTGATGATTAGAACAGAGTTAGACATCAATCCTCTATCTAGAAATCATATTAACATTGGGAAAAATAGAGTCCCTATTTTTGTTGAACATAATGGATTTGTTAAAGTTTATACGATTTGCATCATGCTAAGAAACCGAAGAACAACTATCACTAAAAGAAATAAAGTTTTCAGTGACGACGTTCTGTGCCGTTTACGGGTAAACAAAATTAAACAATATAGAAGAGAAAATAAAAACAAGTTAGTCTCCAATAATGTAAAAGAAAGAAAATTCAACTGGTAAAACAGAGCACTTGAAAATATCTAGTAGCCACAAAGTATATCTACGGCAGCCTCTGGCGCTTAATCAAAGAGGAAAAAATTTCTTTTAACTTGACATTTCTATGGCCATGGCTGCATGGTCATGTTCAAACCAATCTCCAGCTTCACTCTTTCCTTATCCATCAAATTTCTGTACTAAACCCCTCATTCATTATCACCCTCTAGCAATTCTCTATTGCCCCAAAAATGGTTCTTCTTTTGGACACAAGTTATGCATTGGCAATTGAAAGAGATAATGAGGTCGTGAGAATTGCAGCAAAATCTTTGGCCTTTGAAACCAATATTGAGGAGGAGAGTAGCAATAAGATTGAGATAATTAATGAGAAGATTGAGTTAGCATTGAGAAGAAAGAAGAGAAGGAAAAGAAGAAGGTGTTATTCAGAATGTTTGGACATGGATAAAGGGACTTTGTATGTACATTAGTTGTGGACCTCATTCTACTCTCTTTTAACTTGAAAACAGTATCAATCCAATCTCAAAACTGACCATGTGAAGTTCATCTCTACAGTCTACAGTCCCCCCGCCCCAACCCAAGAAAATCACCCCTTAGTCCCTTACCCTTCCATTAAATTCCTATATTTGACATTAAAATAATAAAGTCCTATATTTGACACAAATCTATATATACACACAACAATGTAATATATATTAATGGAAAGAAACATTTCAAAATACACTGCAAATTAATGGCTGCATTTTGGCTTCTCTTTTAGTCTTTGGTTATGGTGGTGAAAATTGCAGAATTTATGTTTGTAAAGAAAAAGGGTATGCTTATTTTACACCTCATTTTCTTTGTTGATCTTTATTCTGTAAACTTTGGCACTTTTTTTTTTAAAAAATATTTAGGCACTAGCTTAAAATCCCATAAAATGCTTTTGCAATTTCTTGATTCTAATGAAAAGCTCAAGAAGATAGATGTTGGTTTTCTGACTCATGTAGGTAGCTACATGAAATTAATAGCTACCTACTTGTTTTCTGACTCCCCACTTTACTTCACTCCTTCCTCTCAAACAATTCCAATAATCCAATTACCAAAGAGAAAAGATGATCACAGAGTTGTTCCAGAAGAGGCTTGATGCCTTTTACAGTATAAAATTCATCTAGACAGGAGGAATAATATGTACGCATTGGAGGGTTTGGGTGGGGGAAACTTACCTGGCAGTGGAGGATCTCGACGGACTTGTAGCGGCACCGGCGAGTGCTTCTCGTTGATGGAAGCGGGGTTTTAGGTGGGGAGAAGTTTAAGTGAGAGAGAGAAGAGAGAAGAAAAAAAAGAGGAAAAGGAAGAAAAAGAAAGGAAGTCACTGAGGGTTTTTAAAAAAACTCTCCGACCGATTCAGTCGGTAATTTGGTCAAAAGTAGTCAACCTCGTTTTACTAAACATTTCCGATCGAATCGGTCGCTATTTTTTTATTTTTTTATTTCTTTTTTTAATTGTTTTAGACCGAATTGGTCACTAAAAATGACGCGGAATTTTCCGCCAAAATTTACGACGGACATAGATGGAAAATTAGTCGTAAGTGTTATTAAAAATTGAAAAATATATTTTTATGAATATTCCGACCGATTCCATCAGAAATTTTTGAATACTATTTTCCGTCGCAAATTTCGGTCGGAAATTAGCCGTTTTTTAGTAGTGTTAGTCATTTTATTTTCTTCCATGAGAAGAAAAAAACGGAAATGGGAAAAGGAACACCCAATAACAAAGCCAACAAAACACAAAAACATCTACTAGTGAGAAGCAACAGACTTCATATTGTGTTGGCCATGGATGATCCTCCCTTAGCCGCAACCATAGGTGTGGTTAATAACATCGTAGTAACAATACTTACAATACCTATCATAGCAGTCACTGCTCGAGCGGCAGTATCCACCGCAACCACTCATCAAACTCTTACCACCAGTTAGTTTTGATTTGAGTTCTGCTGGTACATTCGTCGGCAAGTCTCTCACAGCAAGTACTGGAGACTGAGCCAAATAAACTATAATCCAGCAATAAAAACTCAAGTCTTAAAATCAATATGTAATTATACCATTGTTAATGTTGGAACGTGTAGAAGACTACACATTATATTGACGTATATATGTAAACCTACATAGAGACAATATCAAATAAATAGAGAGTGAGGTGTAGAAAATTAAAAGGTCATTTACCAGACACCACCATAAGCGCAACAGTAAAATAGAAAGCATAACTGCGAGCCATGACAACAATAGTATTGCTTATAAGAGGGAGAAAGATATATAAGGAAAATGTGTTATTGGAGTGCAATTTTTTGCTTCATAAAATCCATGAATTTATAGGCCTCTTTCTCCCCTATATTTTTCCATCTAATTTCCAACTTGTGTTTAACCAATATATATTACGTACCAAGTTGAAACAAATTTATTCAAGAAAAGGGGAAGGAAAAGTCCAGATGATGAGAACCTCTTTGGTAGAGATTCCCTCCAGTTTATTTGCATGCTACTTAGTTACCAAGTGGGTATTATAGATTTTGATTTAACCTAATTAGTAACAAGTAAATTAGTATTAAAAGTGGCTTACACACTACTAAGTACTTGCAACCCTCACTTAGGCATCCATCTGATATGCCACTGTAAGAAAGTGGGGGGAAGTTACTGTGATCAAGAGCTCATTTCCAAAAATTCAACTTGCTTAATTAAAAAGAAGATTAATTAAATTTGATAGCAACTTGCTTTAAAAGCATAGCTTCCCCATGCATTCTGATTAGTTGGCTAATGTGCCTCGGCTGCATCTTCAGTTCAAACGTATTTAACTACATAATCTTACTCATATAACCTCTCAGGTTTCCATTTTTAAAATTTTACATCCATTTGACTAAACAAATCTATACTTGGAATCAATATTTTCTCCGATCAGTTAGTTTTGTAAATTTTATTTTAGAATTTCTTATACTACTTGTTTACCGTAAAAATGGTAATAATAATTAAATTTGATTATGGGACTCTAAAAATACGTGATCTATTTTTATGCTAGTTGTTAAGCAGATGATGCTATGTGTGAGACTTAGAAACGAGATAAGGGTTAAGAATAAGGTGATAACCAAACTGATAGATTAACCATCGGGGCCTCGAGCTTGTTGATTCGGGGACCTCGAGGTCGACTCCGGAGCTCGGCTTGGAGCTATGAAGGTGGTCGAAGTATGACTAACAGTTATAATAATATCAATGAAGGCTCTTTATGGCCAGTGATAAGCAATAAATGATGAACATTAATGAAGATAGTAAATGGAAGTAATAATATCAAAAGAATATGTTAGAGAGCAGAGAGAATGTTCTTTGTATATTTCGTATGGAGCAACTAAAGCAACATAGCCTTTACAAAATGACAAGGATCCCCCTTATATAGGTGGGAAATCCCAACATAGTACAAAATACATTAATGACAAAGAAGCGGAGATGGGATAGCTAGATGACACCCTGATTCAGGATTACGGCAGTCCACTAGGCTCTGTCAGTTCTAGCCGTATACCTTGGGAACTCCCATTTCTACCATAGTCGTGGTCAACATTGTCCCAAGGTCGGGCGTCGACGAACCTCGAGGGAGGAAAATCGACCATAGCCTTGTAGTCTCGAGGCTTCGAGATGATCTTCTAAGGTGCCTCAATGACGTGGAATTGGACCCTCTGATTTCACCGTATACAGATAGTCCCCGTGTTTCTTAGAGAGGAGGGACAAGAAACGATTTTGACATCCAACTCTTCGGACTTCCCACGATGATGTCGCGTTGATGATATCATACTTATGACGTAAGCCTTCACGATAACTGGGACATCCCATGGGCTTTTCTTTTCAGCATCATTCAATGCGTTGTCGATTTCCATTCTTCAAAGCAACAATATCGATGTCGATCTAGTTTCTAATGATGCATTGATTGCGCCTGTCGATCCATCTTTCAAAGACATTGATGGAGTTGTTGGCCATACTATCACCCCTATAAATGGGGGCCTTCCGGTACTATCCTTTTCTCCAAGTTCCTTTCAACACCTTTCCATCCCTTTCTTCCCACTATCCTCCTCCATTGCTACCCACCATGTTTGGGGTCTTTGGCGTTAAGGTCTTATGGCGACGTTCTCATCAGCCATGTCATGGCCCTTTACCTAGGCTTTTCTTTGCCGAGCGAGATTATACTGTCTTGTTTCTGTTGTTGTTGTTACAGTTGTTACTGCTATCATTGTTGGTTCGAGGTGATGAGATAGGGGGGCCGACTTCTTCTGACTTAGGAGGACGTTTGGACTCTACACCGCTGCTCGGGAGAGCGTTCGGACTATACACCGCTTCTCACTCTCCTACCCTAGCCTGGTGTGTCACTTCATCCCCTTGGTTTTCCAAGGGATAAAATGGCACAACCGAACATTAGACTTGCACGGCGCAATGTCCCGGAAGGTGGACCCGGAGCAGCCAAGTAGGGTTGATGCCCGCCGAATCTTTAACCTCTGACTTCGGCGGGCTATGTCTCTTTTTTCTGCTTCTTCTGTGTCACTTTCCTCTTATTCATCTTCCCACTTTCCTTTTCTTCATCTTCGCCCTCAGAGATATTATTCTGGAGGACCGAGATGGAACCTCAGAGGAGGTGGCGGTCGAAGATGTTGCTGCTGAGGATGAACCTTTGCGAATAGATTAGGCTCTTGTCTTTGGCTATATGTGTACGTTTTCTTTTCTTTGTTTCTATGTAAGGACCCCTTGTGGTCTTTTGCAATCATATGTAAGGACCCCTCGTGGGCTTTTATAATCAAATTTTTATGAATGTGAAGATGTTTCTTCAATTTTGTCCTCGATGTTTGCTATATTCCTTTTATTTGCATTTATGGAGACTCTGAATGCATGATTCTATTGGTTGCTGCCAATATCGAGCCCAGGTGTGAGTATTTTTTCTGAGCTTTGATTGACTAATACGACCTCTCGTAGAACCCTTCGTCGTTCCTTAGATCAAGCCTAGATTGAACCGATAAACTCGGCCATCGGGACCCTTACTTCGAGTTGAATGAAAGTAACGCTTCGAGCCTTGAGACCGTGATTTATCACCTAGACCCCGCGGTAATCTTTGAGGGAAAATTTACTCGGAGGTCCGAGGATAGGGACTTCCTTTGAGCTTTCGAGAGCAGTCCCCGAGTGGAGGTTCGTTCAAACTTGGGCCACCTGGAAATTTGCTTCGAACTTGGCGTAGGTAGCCTGAAGGCACTATAAATAGATCCCGAAAGAGGGTTTGCCTGAACTCAGATGGTACCCTGAGGCCAAGCCCATACGGGTGGAGTTTAAATGCTTATTTCCTTGGAGCCTAACTCCTTTTTGACTAAAGTCCCCGAGGTCGGGTACAACCTCGAGTCTTGTAATGATGTCATTGGCTTCCTGGAGCCTAACTTCTTTTTTATGGAAGACCTCGAGGTCGTGTACCACCTCGGGATTGGTGATGATGTCGTTGGCATTTTAGAGCCTAACTTCTTTTTTATGGAGGTCCTCGAGGTCAGGTACCACCTCGGGACTGGCAATGATGTTATTTTTTCCATATATAGGGTTGTTTCTGCTTTTTTGGAGATCCCACCATTCTAGTAGTTACCCTTCTTTTTTCTGCGTTAAGTCTTTCATTATTTCAGTACTAACGTACTTGCACTGATTCCTGCTTTAGTTCTCTAATTTTGCCATAGCCATGACTGCTATATCGGGGTCTGTTCGGCAGGGAGGGGAGAGTTCTGCCTTCATCACTCAGGACCAATGAGAGTATACCTTGAAGACTACTTTTTCGATAAGAGAAGAGCACCTTGAGTTAGTGAGAAAAGATTGTGGATGAGGGGAGAAAGTAGTGTTACAGACATTTTCCCCGGATGAGGGCATCACGGATCGTGCCGATGGATTTTTGAGTGTGTACACGTATCCTTTCACACTGGGCCTCCTTGATAGGGTTGTGCTCGACTTCTGTTTAAAGTATCGGGTTACCTTGGTGCAGATCCACCCGTCATTTTGGTGAACAGTGTTGATGATGAGATTTTTTGTAGAGAAGGTAGGGCTTGAACTTACGCTCAGTCATCTTATTAGGCGGTACCGACCCTTTTCACCATCGAGGTCTGCTAACTTTGCGATTTTGATCGACCACGCCCTTTCTTGTTGATGATGAGGAAGATAGAGACCGGGAGTGGATGAGTCGCTTTGTCCGAGTGCGGACCACTGACATTATCCTCGCGGAGCTTATGTCATTCCTTAAGGAATGGAACTATACGTGTAAGTGGTGCATTCTGTGCCTTCTTAGTTTTGTTTACGGCGAAAACTGGTTTCGTAGTCGTGCCTTCTTTTCTTTTTCTACAGCGGTTTCATGGGCGTCGGGCGACGTTCCTAATTTGCCGGATTGGGTTCGAAAGTTGGCGACCCACATGACCTGTGATAAGCGCAAGTGGTGAGCTTTGTCTCGGGGCAAACGGGAAGCAAAACATCATGGTGTGTGTTGTGCCATTTTTTCCTTTCCTTCCTTCATTTGGAGAGGCATTTTACCTTTATGCATATTAATCTTGTTGTTGTAGGCATCAGAGAGCCTTCCGAGGTGAGGTCGCGCTCCTCTAGAGAAGGGGAAGGGTCGCCAACTTCTGGGCTAAAGAACGACAACAATAAGCGAGAGATGCTTTTTCAGGGCAATGGCGCTCAAAGCAAGGCAAAACAGGATCGGGGCTTCGGAGCGGAAGCATCGTTTCTAGCCTGCCACGTCCGTGGTTCCTGGTTCTGGAAATATGGTTTCCCTATTGTTGTTGCCTTCTTTTTCTGTTGATAGTACTTCGAGGGATACTAGAAACTCGGGGTCGCATAAACCGAGCGACCGTGCCTCGATCGGAGTCGACCCTTTAAGAGTTGAGGGAACTAGGTTGGCAGATGTGTGTTTGGCCTTCAATGAGGCCCAGCGGCTTCACTTCGTGGTGAGTTTCGGCATAAGCCTTTCGAATTTCGCGCCTTCCCTTCCTTATTGGGTTTTCTTTTGTATGCCTTCGACAAGCTTAAGTCCGGGCTGCTTTGTCATTAAGCAAGGCTACAGAAAGCTTTGGATGAGGAGAGATCTTTTAGGCTGCTTTGCGATGAAAAGGAAGTCGAGCTGGTACACTTGCGGTATAAGGTGGGCCAGAGCTTGAATTATGAGAACTACTTGAAGGAGCATGTAATTTTCTGTCTTGGGTGAGTGTGCATTCCGCCTTCTAGCTTCTGAGGCTAACTCTTCGTTTACTTCAGTTGCAGAAAAAGACGGATGTCCTGGAGCATCTTCAGGATAAAGCTGG